AAGATAAGATGCATAAAGGATAAACATCACATGCAATCAATATAAGTGATATGATATGGCCATCATCATCTTGTGATTGTGATCTCCATCTTCGAAGCACCATCGTGATCACCATCGTCACCAGCGCGACACCTTGATCTCCATCGTAGCATCGTTGTCATTCCTCCATCTATTGCTTCTACAACTATCGCTACCACTTAGTGATAAAGTAAAGCAATTACAGGGCGTTTGCATTTCATACAATAAAGCGACAACCATATGGCTCCTGCTAGTTGCCGATAACTTCGGTTACAAAACATGATCATCTCATACAATAAAATATAGCATCACATCTTGACCATATCACATCACAACATGCCCTACAAAAACAAGTTAGACGTCCTCTACTTTGTTGTTGCAAATTTACGTGGCCGCTACGGGCTGAGCAAGAACTGTTCTTACCTACGCATCAAAACCACAAAGATAGTTCGTGAAGTTAGTGCTGTTTTAACCTTCGCAAGGACCGGGCGTAGCCACACTCGGTTCAACTGAAGTTGGAGAAACAGACACCCGCCAGCCACCTGTGTGCAAAGCACGTCGGTAGAACCAGTCTCGCGTAAGCATACGCGTAATGTCGGTCCGGGCCGCTTCATCTAACAATACTGCCGAACCAAAGTATAACATGCTGGTAAGCAGTATGACTTGTGTCGCCCACAACTCACTTGTGTTCTACTCGTGCATATAACATCTACGCATAAAACCAGGCTCGGATGCCACTGTTGGGGAACATAGTAATTTCAAAATTTCCTACGCACACGCAAGATCATGGTGATGCATAGCAACGAGAGGGGAGAGTATGTCCATGTACCCTCGTAGACCGAAAGCGGAAGTGTTAGAACAATGCGGTTGATGTAGTCGTACGTCTTCATGGCTTGACCGATCAAGCACCAAAACTACGGCACCTCCGAGTTCTAGCACACGTTCAGCTTGATGACGTCCCTCGAACTCCGATCCAGCCGAGTGTCGAGGGAGAGTTCCATCAGCACGACGGCGTAGTGACGATCTTGATGTTCTACCGTCACAGGGCTTCACCTAAGCACCGCTACAATATTATCGAGGAGGACTATGGTGGAGGGGGGCACCGCACATGGCTAAGAGATCAATTGTTGTGCCTCTGGGGTGCCCCCCTGCCCCCGTATATAAAGGAGCAAGGGGGAGGCGGCCGGCCAAGGATGAGGGCGCGCCAAGGGGGGAGTCCTAGTCCCACCGGGAGTAGGACTCCTCCTTTCCTTGTTGGAGTAGGAGAGAAGGAAAGAGGAGAAGAGGAAGAAGGAAAAGGGGGCTGCACCCCTTGTCCAATTCGGACCAGAGGAGGGGCGCAGGCCTCCTTCCTTTTGGCCTCTCTCCTCTATTCCCGTATGGCCCAATAAGGCCCATATACTCCCCGGCGAATTCCCGTAACTCTCCGGTACTCCGAAAAATACCCGAATCACTCGGAACCTTTCCGAACTCCGAATATAGTCGTACAATATATTGATCTTTACGTCTCGACCATTTCGAGACTCCTCGTCATGTCCCCGATCTCATCCGGGACTCCGAACTCCTTCGGTACATCAAAACACATAAACTCATAATATAACTGTCATCGAAACCTTAAGCGTGCGGACCCTACGGGTTCGAGAACTATGTAGACATGACCGAGACTCGTTTCTGTTCAATAACCAATAGCGGAACCTGGATGCTCATATTGGCTCCTACATATTCTACGAAGATCTTTATCGGTCAAACCGCATAACAAAATACGTTGTTCCCTTTGTCATCGGTATGTTACTTGCCCAAGATTCGATCGTCGGTATCCCAATACCTAGTTCAATCTCGTTACCGGCAAGTCTCTTTACTCGTTACGTAATGCATCATTCCGTAACTAACTCATTAGCTACATTGCTTGCAAGGCTTATAGTGATGTGCATTACCGAGAGGGCCCAGAGATACCTCTCCGACAATCGGAGTGACAAAACTTAATCTCGAAATACGCCAACTCAACATGTACCTTTGGAGACACCTGTAGAGCTCCTTTATAATCACCCAGTTACATTGTGACGTTTGGTAGCACACAAAGTGTTCCTCCGGTAAACGGGAGTTGCATAATCTCATAGTTTTAGGAACATGTATAAGTCATGAAGAAAGCAATAGCAACATACTAAACGATCAAGTGCTAAGCTAACAGAATGGGTCAAGTCAATCACATCATTCTCCTAATGATGTGATCCCGTTAATCATATGACAACTCATGTCTATGGCTAGGAAACTTAACCATCTTTGATTCACGAGCTAGTCAAGTAGAGGCATACTAGTGACACTATGTTTGTCTATGTATTCACACATGTATTATGTTTCCGGTTAATACAATTCTAGCATGAATAATAAACATTTATCATGAAATAAGTAAATAAATAATAACTTTATTATTGCCTCTAGGGCATATTTCCTTCACACATATCTTGGCATCACAAACCATGGAACACACCACTACAAAATAGTACTCTCCACAAAGGGCACAAGTAGCATTACCAGGTCAGTTGTGTTTTTGAATGTTAAGTGGTGATAGGAGAAAACCGAAAAATTCATGTTGGATTGCCGACAGGAGACAACCATAAGAAAATTCAAATTTTAAGTGGCACCGACGTATCCCAAAGGGCTTCAGCGTCATAAATCTTAGGATGTTGGATCGGTTTAGAATAGGTGGATTTGAGCGAGAACCTTCCTAATGCCTTAAGGTCCCACCTGATGGTGTCTTCATTTCCTAATAGCTGAAACTGCCCCAAGGCTAGCACAAGTGACTCCTGCGAAGTTGCTTCTTCTACGGTGAGGTTGTGGAGGAAGACAAGCTGGTTGATCTGGTCATTACGAAGGGCATCTTTGACAAGGATCTCAGGGTCAGAAGCAATAGTGTAGAGCTTCGGTAAATTGCATACGACGGCATGTCTGACAACCAACTCAAGAGCCAAAAAACTCAGTGTCGTCTCTATCACCGACCAAGAATCGGCGCCAAGGTTGAAAACCTCCTTTCATTTTTGGACCCCATTCCAAAATTGCGAGCTCTTGATCGAAGAGTCAAAGCGGGTATTTGGCAGTATTTTGCTTTCAACATCTGAGCCCAAAGGCCGGAATCATTTTGAGAAATTTTCCAAATCCACTTGGTGAGGAGGTCCAGGTTCATTTATCCTATTAGATAGCGTCAAAACCCTCCCCTCCCCGAGGCGCTCCCGCAGGCGCCCCCATAACCCTCCCCTCCCCGAGGCGCTCCTGCGGGAGACCCCGGAGGAACCCTAGCGCCGCCCCCGTCGCCCCCTTCGCCTCAACCCCCTCCCTCGTCGCCGCCTGGGGCGTCTCCGGCCAAAGGTCATGTGGCAGTGGCGGCGGCGGGGTGGCTCTCTCCCGCACGCAGTTGGGGACTCTGCGGGGCGTTCCCATCTTCTTGGTGGTGCCGGGCGTCGGGTTGGCCCTGTCTCGGCTCCTTCTCCCCTTCCTGGCATCCCTTGCTGGCGCAGCCTCCTCCCGTCCATGGTGGTGGGTGTTGGGGGATGGATCTGGGATCCCTGCCCAGATCTGATGGATGGTGGGGCTGGTGTTGGCAGCGGTGGCCGGCGGCCCAGGCGTGGTGGCGGCGAGTCTCGAGGCCTCTGGGCATCATGGAGGTGCCGTCGGCGGCGAGTGCTTAGCCTGGTGATGGCGGTGGCCATGCACGGGAGTTTGGATTCCTTCGAACAGATCTGGGTGAAAACTTGCTTTCGGCTATTGCCAAGGTCGGCGGTGGCGGCGCTATCTGCATCGTTCCCTTCTTGAAGGCATCGTCGGGGAGAAGTTCAAGGCCACTCTATGCTACCTCCAAGGAAACCCTAGATTGGACGATCGGATGACGGCGGCGCTCTAGTGTCATTCCGCCCTTTGGGGCGTCATTCTTGGAGGTACACACGTGATCGAGGGACCTGAGGACGGATTCTTTGGTGGAGCGGTGCTTCATCTCACTCATTGATGGCGGCGGATCTCGACGGCATGACGCCGTGGTGACTCGTCGTCCGATGCGCGGAGATGGACTCGCGCAGGAGGGTGACGCGGTCTGGCATCGTGGTGACGTCGACAACAGCTAGACTGGACAAGGTAGATGCAGCAGTACAGTTCTGAAGATGGATTTGGTGGCAGGTGGCTGCGGCGGCCTCATACCCGGCAGGTGTCCTGGTTGAGGAGTGCGCCGGACCGGTGGGTGCCCCATACCCGGCAGGCGTCCTGGATGGGACCTCAGGTCTTAGATGGTAGGTTTGGCTGCGAGGTCTGTTTGGTATTAGGCTCAGACTATTAGCATTCCTTCATCAATTGGATAGGAGTAGCGACAGATGTTGCCTAGATGGTATCTTTAGTCTTACTGTTGTATTATTTTGTAAGATCTTGTGTGAACAATAAATAAAATGGCTGCATGCATCGTCCAGATGCAGAGTCCGGGGGTCTTCCTCCATTTCTAAAAAAAAATAGCGTCAGAAGGCAACAAGGATATTTATCTGCATGTTGCTTGTAGTTGGCCTTGAAGGTATCACATGCAATGCAATACAGATCAACTATTTGTTTAGGAGCATGAAGAAAGCCTAGGGATGCAACTATCCGTTGATGCGCTGCTGAGAAAAAGTAGATGATGTAAATTACGTGCTAACATTGATCTTGTTTACTAAAGTTTGATTCATTATGATAATGAGTTTTCAAAAACGAAGAACAAAGAAGAGGGGAGTAATTTGAAGAATTTGCGTCGTTCGTCGAGAGCTCCATTTGATTGTAGAATGGCATCTTGCGGAAGATTAGCTATCCATCCTGTGTGAAAATACAAAGTATGTACCACCCCAAGTACATGTAGCAATTAATAGATTATTAGTTAATGGAGATGTCGAAGCTGCCAAGGACCTATAAATCCGGCATCCAGAGCTCTTCATGAGAGCACACAAACACAAACACAAACACAACCCACAGGCGTTATGAGCACAATGGTGGAGAACCGCAGCACCATCGCCTTCTTCGGGACCTTCAGGCCAGCGGTGGCGCTGGACCTCTTCTCATGCCCAGTGAACCCGACGACAACGTCTGCGCCGGACGAGCAGCGCCTCACCGACGGTAAGTCGTACAACCAGAACGGCCAGGCCATCACGCCGGCGGCTCTCAAGGAGCTCCTGGCCAAGAACAGCCCCGCGCTGGCCGGCGTTGCCACTCCGGATGACGTGGACAAGGGCCGTGTCACCGGCATCGTCTTTGTCTCCGAGAGGGACAACGGCCTGGAGACGCTCCATGTGGCCCTGCGCGCCGCAGGCAAGACCACGGTGGTGTCGCTGGCCGACATCTACGGCACCGACACCTTCGGCGGGGTCCGAATGGAGGACAGCGGCTGCTTGGCCGGTGGCTTCCAGGTGGGCGGTCGCACCGTCGGGCACTCGCTGGTGTACGTGTCCACCAAGGAGCCGGCGGCAGCACGGCGCACTCCGTGGACCGTGGTGTACAAGACCAACCTTGCCGATGGCAGGACGGAGCGCCTCACTCCGCCGGGTAAGAAACTATCTAATCTGGTGGTCTCTCGTCGTGTATATATTTGGGCACTTGGCCATGGCCATGCAGCGACTGATGCGTCTGCTTGCAGATCAATACGACCTGAACCCGGCCGTGTCGCCGTCCGGGAAGAGGGTGGCGGTGGCCAATTTCCGGTTCAACCAGTGGACCGGCGAGATCGGCCGCCTCAAGACCGATATCGTGGTGATGAACGTGGACCGGCAGGCGCAGGGTGGGCTTGGGCGCAGCGTCCTCATCAAGGACGGCGGGTGGCCGACGTGGGGCAGCGACACTGTCATCTTCTTCCACCGAGGGGTGGATAGCATAGACACAGTCAGTGGGAGGACCAATACTGACTGGGGTGTGTACCGGTACGACCTCACCGCCAAGCAGGACAAGAACAACCCCTTCAAGGTGACCCCTGACGGCATCCAAGCCATGACTCCGGCGGCCATCAGCGAGACCAAGGTGGCGGCGGCCGTCACCCGGGAGGGCACCCGGATAGCTATAGCGGTCGTGGATCGCGATAAAAAGGAACAGTACCGTCACATCGAGATCTATGAGGTCGGCAAGCCTGCCAGCCCGGTGATAATCACCCATAGGACGGGCACGGTGCCCGAGGGGCTGGCAGACCACTACAGCCCGTTCGTGCTCGACGGCGGCAGCCGTATCGGTTTCCACCGCCAGCTAACCAAGAAGGAGAATACTACCGCTCAGAAGAACTTCAGCAAGCTGCAGAGCCCGGCGACGCACAAGGACGTCGGGATCTACCGGATGGCCGGCGTGTTCCCAAGCATCCACATGGCGGGCACCAAGATCACCTACGTGGACAACGAGTTCAAAACACTGAAAAAAATAGCACGCTATAGCGCCGCTAATAGCACGCTATGGCGTGTAGAGAATTGCCTCGCTAAATTAATTTTTGTATAATGTCTCGCTAATAGCACGTTGTAGCGCGCTATAGCACGCTAATAGCATATTTTCAGAGGCCGCGCTATTTTCTGTAGCGCGCTATTTTTTTCATTGGTTCAAAACCGTGTGGGTCGCCGACGATGGACACGAGCCGCAAGAAGCCCATACGGTACGTCAAAGAGCTATTCTCCTAATTGTTGGTTCATCAAATCAAATAGTATATATCTCTAGCTATCTACAGGATGATCACTCACATAGATACAATTTACGTAAGGTTTAGTAGATGAATTATGCTAGGTCTAGCATTTTCGGATCCAATTAATACAACGCTCGTATGTATGAGCAGGACAGGAGCAACAACAACATCTTGTCCACAACGTGGAACCAAGGCAAGGACGAGGAAACGGGCAAGTTAAAGGACATCGTCTACTTCTGCGTGGGCACGGCCTTCGGCACCGGCCCAATACAGATCTATGCTCTCGAAGACGCCTCCAATCCCTCACACAATGAACGGACCATGAGGCGCCTCACCAAGGGCAATTTCAACAACGCCTTCCCCTCGAGCAACCGGGATGGGAGCAAGTTCGTGTTCCGGTCGACGCGCGACAGATCCGGTAAGCTGGAGGACGCCAAGTACAAGAACCTCTACATCATGGAGGACGCGGTATACGGGGAGTGGAGTGAAGATGAAGAAGGCACGGCAGTGAGGCAGCTCACTAACGGGCCCTGGATCGACAGTCACTGCACCTGGTCGCCCACTGATGATTGGATCGTCTTCTCCTCCTCCCGCGACAGGGCGGCTGGCGCGCCAGAGAGGGACATCCTCGACGCCGGCTGCTTCTCCATCTTTCTCGTCAAAGCCACCGACCCCAGTGTGTTGGTGCGGGTCATGCACAGCGCCGACTCCCTGGCCGGCCATGTCTGCCACCCCGTCTTCAGCCCCTTCAAGGACAGCATCGTCATCACCTCCGACGTCGCCGGCGTCTCGGCCGACCCGGTCTCTCTGCCCATCTTCATCCACTCCGTCAGGCCCTACGGCGACATCTTCACCATCAAACTCCGAGACAAGAAGGACATCATGAAGAACAAGGACATCATGGAGTTCGACCGCATCACACACACCCGCTACGAGTACTCCACGCCCACCTGGACGACCTATTTGGGTGACGACCCCAACAACAAGTGGAAAACGGCCGGTAGCGGTGCAGCGGAGTGCCCCGCCGGGAGGTGCTAGTTTATTTCCCTTTCCATTTCATGCATCTCATTTCAGATCGACTTTCATCGATCCATCCGACGACCGACAATAAACTCGCGCAGCGCGCGGCACCTACCAAGCTTAGTTTGTTTCATATTTTTTTGCATTCCCAATTTGTTTCCATCAGGAAAAGTAGCGTCATCCAGTCATATGTGTAGCTTCTACTAACTAGCCTACAAAAACGTCTTATATTTTGTGACGAAGGTAGTAGCATATACACATTACACACTTCCGTTAATTTGTACTCCACTACTATTCATGTTACACTTACTCTCTGTGTCACCCCTATATAGTAATAGTACTAGTGCTGCTGTTCTATTCTGTTTTTCATCATAAAATAAAGATGTGACCATTGCTGTTGTTCGTGTTCGTGTTGGTGTTGGCGTGCTTAATAATTTGAATCTGTTATATCTTTTGAATCAAAAATCCAATTTATGTTTTGTTTGCATATTTGTGTTTCTTGCCACTAGGGCTTTCGAACAAGACCACTCTTGAATAGGTTTTTACAAGTTTCAAAACTTCATCAGGTTTTAAATGCTAAAACTCTCTCGAACAGTCTCTAGCCCCACTTTATAAATAAAGTAAAAACCAAATTATCCGACCGAACGATACAAGGCACTGAGCGAGCTCTCTTACACAACAGATATCTGGATAACCGGACAACATAAACTCAGGCGACTACGTTGCCGAAATGTAACACAGGTAGGTTTGAAAAGACGTCACGACACGGCCTAAGACACCTGTCGGCTGATGATCGTCGAGATCGGAGCTAAGATGCTGGTCTTGAATGCTCCAAACGCTTCACACATGTGACAAGGAATTTAACCAAATTCTGACCATCGTAGCAATGAAGCACCCTACTCCTCCTTTAATGTATTTTTCTATGTATTCCTCTCTTTTC